TTTTTTTTTTTTTTTTTTTTTTTTTTAATTTTTTTTTCAACGTTTATTTATTTTTGGGACAGGGAGAGACAGAGCATGAACGGGGGAGGGTCAGAGAGAGAGGGAGACACAGAATCGGAAACAGGCTCCAGGCTCCGAGCCATCAGCCCAGAGCCTGACGCGGGACTCGAACTCACGGACCGCAAGATCGTGACCTGGCTGAAGTCGGACGCTTAACCGACTGCGCCACCCAGGCGCCCCGGGAGAAAAATTCTTTAAATGGTAGTCTGTATGCAACGCTCAGGTCCTTGCAGTGAGAAGAGGAATATCATTACACTCATTTTCATCATTTTCCAAGCTTCCCTTGAAAGCTGTTTATCAAAAGTGACCACAGTCACCATGTTCACGACAATTCCAATCCCAGCTAAAAAGTGACAAGGTATATATCCATTTGAATTACGTTGAAAAGGGCCCTTTTATGCAGAATAAATGAACTGTTGCCGGAGTATTCCTGTAGCATTACACATCAGTTTCATTCAGATTACTTGAGTAATCTATAGTGAGCTAGTAGTGGTGATTATATTCTAAGAATATTATGTATGTTTGCTATAAAGTGGGAATGTTATTGCCAGTGGCTTCAACTTTCCAGTATTGAGTTAACAGCAGAGAAGTAGCAAGGATGCGCCAAAGCAGCTCCTCGTTAACGCTGGAAAGTAGACAAGCCCATATACAGGGCCCGGCACACATAGGAAAGATAGAGGTGTGGTACGTGAGGGGTTCCAGGTATGTCTTCTGTCCTTGGATCTCTCCCTTTACAGCCTTTTATGATGCACCTAGGCTTCGTCCCTGCTACAGTTTCATTTCATTTAATCCAGCACCAACATGTAGACTGATCCCAGTCACTTGAATACTAAACGTTTCCAAATCCCAACCAAAATGCAATACCCGTTAGCACCTATGCAGCATCAGTACATTTTTTAGTGTAGGTGGTAGTTTTATAGGTATTTCAGCTTAGCGCGGCCGATCCTCCTTATTCACGGATTCCATATTTGCACATTCGCCTACTTGCTGAAATTCATCGTAACCCTAAAATCAGTGTTAATGGCGCTTTCACAGCCCTCGGCAGACAGCCACAGAGTAGTGAAAACTTTGAGTCGCTCACTGTGCACATTCCCAGCGTGGGTTGAACAAGGCAGTGTTCTGCCTTCTTGTTTCCATTCTCATACTGTAAACAAATGTGCTTTTTACGGCCTATTTAGTGCTGCATTTTCGAGGGTGATTTTGCTGTGTAATATGACCCCCAAACCTAGTGCTGAAGTGCTAGCAGGTGTTCCTAAGCACAAGAAGGCTGTGATGTGCCTTTTTGGAAAATACGTGTGTTAGAGAAGTTTCATTCAGGAATATGCTATAGTGCTGTTGACGGTGAGTTCAATGTTAATGGATCAGTAATAAGCATTAAATAACGAGTCTTGAAACAAAAGCACATATAAGACGAGGTTATATATGGAGCAGTCGATGACAGTATCGTGACCAGAGGCTCACAGAAGTCTTAACCGTGTATTTCCCACAAAATCAGTGGTTCACTAATTCACTGTTCATGGTGATTTCATTGAACATAATTACCGGGAATAACTAGAATCGGCTCTATTTGTGCATTTTCTTGCTTTCTAGTCTACCCTTGCTACTCAGGTCTTACATGGGCTTCAATTTGGGCCAAAAAAACAACCATACACCATGACCATCTATTTACAGATAGGGGAGAGTTCTCTTCATTCTCTGAATCTGACTTCAGTGACCCAGGCCTTGGGGGTAACTCTAAGTGCATATTAAAATTGCCCACAGGGGGGCGCCTGGGTGGCGCAGTCGGTTAAGCGTCCGACTTCAGCCAGGTCACGATCTCGCGGTCCGTGAGTTCGAGCCCCGCGTCGGGCTCTGGGCTGATGGCTCAGAGCCTGGAGCCTGTTTCCGATTCTGTGTCTCCCTCTCTCTGCCCCTCCCCCGTTCATGCTCTGTCTCTCTCTGTCCCAAAAATGAATAAACGTTGAAAAAAAAAAAAAAATTTAAAATTGCCCACAGGAAAATTTTAAAATACTGATGCCCAGGATCTATTAAATCAGAGTCTGGGGGCACCTGGTTGGCTCAGTTGGTGGAGCATCCTACTCTTGATCTCGAGGTCATGGGTTCAAACCCTGCTCGGGGTGTGGAGCCTACTTTAAAACAAAGGGAGGAGGGATCAGAGTCTGATTTAGTCTGAGCTGCACCCTTTATCATTTGAAACCTCTCCACATAATTCTAACGGAAAGCCCGGTTTGAACAACCCTGGCCCAGGGAGAAATGAGGGTTATGGCTCTACAGAAATCCCTAATCCCGTCAAAGTGAGTAACACCTCTGTACGTTTTGCACGCCAGTAAACGCCTTATTTCCCAATTATGATGTAGCGATGAATGTTTAAGTAGCGAAACAAAATGTTTGGGGTGCACAGCTGTGACTCTATTCTGACCCATATTAAAAGTAAACATTTTGATTCTTTTTTTATGGGCATCTCTTCACTTGTCTTTAGCCGAACTAACTGAATTGGGGTTGACCGTATATATAGGATTTTATTTTAAGGTTTATCCCCTTTATGTTACCCTTTTCTCTCAGTGGACATACACAGTCCCGAACACAGATAGTGTTGATATATTCAATTAAAGACAAAGACATTTTTGAAATTAGTTGATGTCAGATAACAGGATATGCTGAAAACCACTGTTTTCCTGCTATTATTGGGTTTTTTCAGGCTTTCATCTTAGGAAAATAATCTTTAGTTCAGTGACTATAATTAGAGGCCTAGCAGTGGTATCCTGAAAAGTACCTATAATTTTGACCTTTCCTTCCTGTTTCTTATTTCTCTATGAAAAAGAGGCTACAATTGAAAGTGAAACAAACCAGAAATCCATATTTTATGATTCCACATAGTACATTTTGTCTTTTCCAATGCCTTTCCCCAAAATGGGACAGGATAGGGACTTTTTTTCCCTTTGAAAAATCTCTTACTTGTTCCTCATCGAAAAAGGGGCATAGGAGAACGATGCTATCAAAATCTGTCACTAGGTCCTCCAGGAGAATATTCCAGATGCTCCCTTACAATCTCTTATAGGCAAACTTAAATGCAGTACTGCCAGATTGGTACAGACGTGGACATATTAAATAGCTCTCACCAAATTATATTGTTTACAACAATAGGATTTACTTTAAAAGTTCCGTTCTCCTAAAAACTTTGAGCTTTCTGTTACTATTTTTTTTTTTAAACAATTTTTTTTTTTTCAACGTTTATTTATTTTTGGGACAGAGAGAGACAGAGCATGAACAGGGGAGGGGCAGAGAGAGAGGGAGACACAGAATCGGAAACAGGCTCCAGGCTCTGAGCCATCAGCCCAGAGCCTGATGCGGGGCTCGAACTCCCGGACCGCGAGATCGTGACCTGGCTGAAGTCGGACGCTTAACCGACTGCGCCACCCAGGCGCCCCTCTGTTACTATTTTTTATATTACTCTTACTAAATACCTTTCTCTCACTGCTGCGTGGGGTAGTATACGTATGCATAGAGATAGGCTCAGTGGCTAATACATTGCCCCTTGAATTATTCCTATCTAATACTAAAGAAAGGAACAAAATGTAGATGAAAGGAAAAAGCTAGTGGCTAACATAGCATATCTACTTCAACGTTTCTTAATGTTGTTATAGGTTAAAGAAAGCAAGATCTAAAGTACTTGCTTTTTACCGAGATCTTTTGAAGTGGACTATTTAAAGTCATTCACCATCTTATAGGAGTTCCAGTCAACTTTTGAGTTCACTTTGTTTATTCGTGGAATAGTCAAGAAAGCCATGTAGGTCTGACAGGGTTTGCTCAGAGTAGTCGCTGATGCGGTGACCCATGTGCATTATTTTGCCTGGGATTAAGCAGCACTTAAATGGGGAAGACAGTCCAGGATTTGTCCGATGTAAGAGTGAGGATTTTTGTTCCTCACTTAATTTTTTTTTTTTTTAATCTTAATGCTTCCTCTCACTCCTCGCTGGTGCAGTTTTGCAGAGGACTGACCTAGACACTGTTGAGATGCCAAGGAGCTCTTTCTATTGCTTGCGCGTGTTTTGCGTTTCTAGAACTAGAAAACGTGTGAGCCCTACGCTAGTGTTTCAGAAAAGAATCTGTTACTTTTTGGAAATAATTCTTAAACTTGGAGATGGTTTCAGACCGTTTTTCAAATTCATAAACAATGATTCTGATTCACTTCTTCAAAAAGAGATGAATATTATATGTACAACACAATCAAAGAACTCTCTTCCTAACTTGCCTTTTTTGGAAACTGTCTACTTCCTCTTCTCCAACCCAACCCCCTTTATTCAAACAGACCGAAGAAGAAAGAGAAATTTCTGAGAAAGTTATATTTTTGCAGCAAGAAAGCTCTCCATTCCTTGAGTCTCAGGTAAAAAACAAACATAAAGGGATTTCCCAGGAGGGAATTGCTCTTCAGATTTCAGTGTCATTAAAGTGTTTTTAGTTTTTATTTTCCTTTTTAAATTGACCTTAAAACTAAGGTAGGTGTATCATTTTTGCTTAGATTCTGGGGAGGGGACAAAGGAATTTTATTACCATTTTCGTTACCAGCCATCATTTCTTTATGGCTTTTGTGCCTAGGTGATTATATCTGTGTATGGCCAGTGAAGCATTATAATTCTGCTTTCTAATGATATTATTGGGGCTTCTTACTGTCTGCTTTACCCATAGAGTGATACTAATTTAGATGACCTTGACTGATTTTGAAAGTTCTGAACTTTTATTGGTTTTCCCACTAGCCGAGTATGATAAAGAAAATGCAGGAAGGAGACTCCGCGGTTACCTCTCGTCAAATCATTTTCCAGAAAACTGTCCCATCGACCCTAGAGGTTATTTTTCAATTCATTTCATTTAATCCAGCACCAACATGTAGACTGATCTGTAATTGTTTTTTTCCTAAGGCACACACATTTCCAGATTCAAGTTTTCAGAGTAAGGCAGACCAGAAAGTAGAAAACACTGTAGTTTAAAATGTAAACCAAGGCTCTCAGCTGCCCCTGGTGTGATTTTGCTTCCCTCTGTGATCTGTAAGACTAGTCAACTGCCCGGCCTCATCCTTGTAGCCTTCTCTCTCAATTTTCATTTCTTCTGTCGTATTGGAACTAAGACTAAGGAGAGTGGCAGAGAAACTATTCACACCATGAGCTTCAGTTGTAAGTAAGATTGGACCACCATGACCTATTTATAAGAGGCTCCAACAATGCCCCCAACTATAGTCCCTTGACGACCGGCATACTCAGTATTTATCGGATAGGAAGTGCTATGGTAGATTTGATCTCCTATATATATAAGGAACTATAATTTACAAACATGAAAAATGATAATCACAGAAATTTGTGGAATGCTGGCAAGTTCTTTGTGAAAACAGCAGATACGACGCACAGTGTTCTAGTTACCATGGAAAACTGTCTTTTTGTGTCCACACAAGCTAAATAACTTGTACAACACCTTCAGTAACATCATTCAGTTTTGAAATCTAAAATGATGAGATGCTTAGCATAAGGTCCGGTATATTCTTGCAAAAATTTACCACCAAGTTATGTTCCTATTTAAAGAAACCTGAAATTGCAACTCTACGTGCAGACTGTATTCCAAGCTGAAGGTTAGAGTTTGTAAGTTTCAGATAAGAAGAGATTTGCAACCAGAATTATTAGATAATAACACCAGCCCTGTGCAGTCACATCACAATGTAGCTTTTGCCCTGGTTTCTTAAAGGATTCTTATTTTAGAAATGAGACCATCAGCATTTCTAATTTAGCTTTTATATTTCAAATATAGGGCACAGAGGATTGGGTTATTGTAGACAAAGTACCCACTGAGGTAGTTGATGGTGATTCGAAAAAGATTGTGACTTACAAGGTGGTGACCGTGAGCAGTAGAACCGGAGACATCCCAGCGGATCTGTTAAAATCTGGTGCCATTGAAATGCAGAGCTTCGAGGACTTGGCCCGGGAAATGCAATTGAAAGGAGAAAGCAAACAGAAAATATACGCTCTAGGAAAATCCTACGACACCGTATCCGGCAAGATCGTAACCATGACTGGAAAGGCCAAGGAGGGGGAGAAGGCAGTACAGCCCTGCGGTCTGGAAGCCCTTCAGAAAGCGGACAGAGCGTTGTCGGAGTCGGTGAAGATCATCCCGGTCACGGCCGATTACGAGGTCCTGGACGTCGCCCCCGATGAGACATCCAGGAGAGGACCCGAGGTGCATACCCCCAAGCGGAAACTGTCCGAATCACTGGCTCCCATCAAGGAAGCCGATTCCCGGCGGCCGAGCCCCGAAGAGGACGAGCTCCAGAGAGCCCTGGGGCCGGGCCGGGACGCAGCGCCCCACGCTGGCCCGGAGGGCGCGCACCCGGGCAGGACGGAGCCAGCGCCGGAGGGCGAGGTCTTGAAAGTGGGGCTCTTTGGTCCCAGGAGGAAGAGCCTGTCCGAGTGGAGATACTCACAGGAACCGGCCTTCACCGTGGCCACTGCTCATTACGTTACCGAGTCCTCCTCATCTCGAGTTGTGGTAACCAGTGCCTTTCCCTTGGACCACCGTTTCAGATTCCAGCATGACGTTTTTTTTTTGAGGCAGTGCCCTTCCACCCTAAACTTTTCTGTTCTCGCTGTTTGGCTTTTTGTTGAGAGCAGCCAACCCAAGCTTTTTAAGTTTTGTCATGGTTAGATCAACACTGCAGTCCAACGTAGGCGTTAAAACACTTGCCGTTTTATTTCCAGCTCCCCGATCCCGAGATGTGATAGTGCTGCTGTGGCTTGCAATGAAGGGAAAATGGTCTGCTTAAACCAGCACCGCCCATGTCCTAATAACTCTCTCTGCTTTACCAAACAAGAGCTCATGGTCACCTCAATTTGCTATTTTATTTCCCATTCTTTTCTGTTTCCCAACTTTGTCTGGTAGATTCCCTCCTCCCTCCTCCCCCCTTCCTCCCTTACAGTTTTGTCTAACCGGCTGTGAATGTGAATGTGCCCGCCTATGTTCCTGTCTCTGTGCTTGACTGTCCGTTTCTTTGTTCACCCAGACTAAACAGTCTTCTGCCGAAAAGCTCATGGATGGCTCTGAAATCTTCAGTTTATTAGACTCTGCGAGAAAACCAACGGAATTCATAGGAGGGGTTACTTCTACTTCTCAAAGCTGGGTTCAGGTGGCCAGTTGCTTCCTCCTTGGTGTTCCTGACTCTGCCCATTTGCCTTTCTTTATGCCTCTTGGCTGTGTGCGTGTGTGTGTGTGTGTGTGTGTGTGTTTTGCATCCCAGGGGCTTTGCCTTAAACGCCTCAGAGGTGTCGTCGGTTATTTTCCTTTGTGTCTGCCTGGCATAGCTGTCATGGGCCTTTAGCCCCACCAGTAGAACATGCTTCAGGTATTCCAAAGGCAATCGTGTTGAGAAATCATAATTTGCATTTAACTTTTTAAGCATTTTATGCTCTCTGTTAGGTGTAAGAAAGCTGCCAGAATCCATGGGAGTGTGCTACAATGCTTTCATTTTGTTTTATTTTAATTGCATTTTATACCGCGTCCCGTTTCTTTTGCGGCTTTCCGGACATAGCACAGGCTTGAGGGCGTGTGTGTATGTGTCGGGGGCAGGGGGCTCGCATCAAAGATTCTGGCAGGAGGAATGAAAGCTAATTTATGTTTTGTATAAGGATTTCTGCTCATAAGCACTTGACACTGGCTTTAGGCGTCCTGGCGAGTGGCTGCGTTTGTTTTTATTTTGGTTTTTTGACCCTCGGTTTATGGAAAGTCACACTGACCCTGCCATCTTTTCCCGTGCAGAAAACGGAAACCAAGACGGGGCCCAGCAAAACAGAGCCGGAAACAAGCCAGCACCCCCAGTCACTTAGCGCCGAGAAGGTTGTGCAGGAAACCGTGTTGGTGGAGGAAAGACATGTCATGAATGTGCATGCGAGTGGGGATGCTTCTTACGCAGCTGGAGAGGATGTGGATGCTGCGGCACAGGCAGCATCTGCTGATGCTTCTGGCTTGAAAGGGAAGGAGGGCTCTGCCCTGACAGAGGGGGCTAAAGAGGAAAAGGGGGAGGTGGCTGGCAAAGCTGTCCTCGAACAGGAAGGAACGGCCACTGCTTCCCATGAGTCAGAGGAGGAGCAGAGTGCAGCAACCCACGTTTCTGAAACTTGGGAACAAAAACCTCATTTCGAGGTAACTAATAGTTGATGTTCCTTTCAGCACTAACGTAAAACTGATATGTGTGGTGGGAGTCCCCGAAATTTAGTTAAGCATCAAGATGGAGCTAAGTTGAATTTTCGACCTTTTCCAAATGCAGTTTGTTTCTCCTCTTATATCCCTCTTGCATGGCAATCTCAGGAGTCTCCATGCTGGTTTCCATCTTTGGGGTCACGTGCATACACATTTAATGATTATTAATAAGGTGTAGTTCCAGGAAATGGTTTCTACCTTTGCTGTAATTACTGTAATTGGCAGTAAACCTGGGGACTGCGTGGCCAACAAGAGCATAGAACATTTGATCAATCTTCTTTTTTTGATCAGTGTACTTACCCAGAAACTGTGCTTGCCCAGGTACCAAATGCCAGAACTTTGTTCTTTATCTCTCCGAGATTCCTGAGTTCTGTGCTGTTGGAGGTTCTTAATGTCTTAGCATCCATTCCTTTTTTCTAAGACGTTATTAAACAGAAGGCTGATTGATTATTTTTGATCTATCTATGCAGTAGAGGAGGGGGAACACAAAAACAGTTTTTTAGACATTTCCTTCAAAATGCCTTCCTTTACCTGGAACATCCCATGTTTAAAAAAAAAAAGAAAGAAAACTAATCCTGAAAGACTGACATCTATTTGGTGTCTGCCTCATTCCTCAACTTACTCTCCCCATGTAATACATAAACATTTATTTCATACTAACCTGTGCTTATACATATCCACTGGGGGGGGGGGGGCGGAGGGGAAAAAACCCAAAAGCGTGCCTTTGTGCAAACTGTAATAGCCACTGCCTACTTCTCATTGGTACAGTCATCGACTGTGAAGACAGAAACCATCAGCTTTGGCAGCGTTTCACCAGGAGGAGTAAAGCTAGAAATTTCTACCAAGGAAGTGCCGGTAGTTCACACAGAAACGAAAACCATAACATACGAATCCTCACAGGTAAGACCGTCTGTCGAGGCCGGAGCCCTGGCACCTTGTTTTGCCGCATTTACTGGCTTGCTGCATTTAAGTACGTGATACTTAATGTGCCGGACTTAGAGGGCCCAGTAGCCAAGCTGTGTCTATCAGGAGCGATCATGGTGATAAGCATAACTTTATTACCAAGCAAAAAAAAACATCAGGTGACTTTAAGCAGGTCTTCCTGCATCTCAAAATGTAGAACAAGGCTCAGGAGCCTATCGCCTTAGCCACAGGTCAGGGAAAATAGCAGTTCAGGCAGACACGACTCACCTTTCTGAAGTCCCGGTGTTTTAAGGATGGTTCCCTCTGGCTGCCTTGGGTGGCGTCGTACCCATAGCCAGAGCTCCTGTGTGCTGACTGAACAGCGCGGTGGTCGTGAGAGAGAACTCGGTCATCCTAATGCCCTGAGCTAACACAGGAGACCTCTGGAGAGGTCAGTGTTTGAGTGTGGTGTCTGTTCCTCTGCTCACACAGGTCGATCCGGGTGCCGATTTGGAGCCGGGTGTGCTGATGAGCGCACAGACGATCACATCTGAAACCACCAGTACCACAACCACCACCCACATCACCAAAGTAAGTGGGGCGGGAACAGGTAAAAGGAAGGCATTCACACGGAACTTCTTCCCGGTTGAGCTGCGCAGGCCCAGGGTTCTGTGAACATCAGGAGCCCGCGTTGCGCTCTCTTCACCCAGTCTCTGGGGCATTTGTCCTTAGGTGCTAGTTTCTGTTTAGGAATATGCATCCCGATGCCTTTTGCTTAACACAGAACTCCAGCGCTTAGCACGTGGTAGGTGTTCCAGAAGCACCGGCCAGCCTCACCCCCAGAACTGCATTCCGGGCTCACTTCTGAAATTAACCATTTTAAGTAATTGCCAAAGAATTGTTTCCGTTCTTAATGATGTTATTGAAAACCCTGTTAGCGTTTTCTCCCAATTCCCCCATTGAACAACGACTGTTCCTCCAGTGAGTGAATTTCTGACGCTTGCCTGTGCCTTGCAGACTGTGAAAGGAGGCATTTCAGAGACGAGGATTGAGAAGCGCATCGTCATCACAGGAGATGCGGACATTGACCACGATCAGGTAGTGTGCGTGGGATGGCAGATCCCCTGGCAGAGAAACAGAGGGGGGTCAGCCTTACTCTTCCCAGCGTTGTTCTTTTAGTCCATCAGGCAGTCTAAACCGTTTTCGGAATTAACTTTTCAGTGTGCAGCCTCCAATTCCTTTTGCAGTCATTGTACCTCATTTGTAAATGACGTATATAGATCTAGCTCCTAAGCCTCCACCTTGCTACTGATCATGCATGTTCCACCTCCTTTTTTGTCTTTGCCCTTCTGTGATTTCCTGGGGATAGGCTCTGGCTCAGGCAATTAAAGAGGCCAAAGAGCAGCACCCTGACATGTCAGTGACCAAAGTAGTGGTCCATAAAGAGACCGAGATCACACCGGAAGACGGAGAGGATTGACCCCAGGTAAGAGGCGACACTGATTTTCTAGACTTGGCCTTGGCTGGCATGTAGCATGGGACACTTCCCTCTCTCCTTCCCCTGCCTCCTCCTCTCTCTTTCTTCTCTCACTGGCATTTTGCAGGGCTGCTCACCAAGGGGATAGAGAATTGGTTTACAGGCGCTGGTTTGTTTCACATTTGGGGGCTCCATCCTGTGGACATTTTGCTTATTCTGCCAGTTAGAGGATCAAGAAAGAAGCAGTGTTTGCGTGCATGCCCTCACTGGTGTTTCCTTTTCATCCATGCCCTGGACTCTTCATTATCCAAATTCGAAAGGTCAAATTTGATTTCACTTGCCATGTGGCCTAATTAGCACTAAGGCCATTTTGTTCTGAGACGTATAATTTGTGTGTTCCAAATACTCGGAAAATGTACCCCTTTCTCCTTTGGGCAGAAAACTTATCCCACTTATTGTAAGCTTTCTCCGCAGCTATGTTTGCTTATGCTCCTATTTATGCTCTTGTTTTTGCTTTGTTTCTTACCTTGAAACCCAGGCATTCACTTTCATGTTGGATGTCTTGTATTTTCTGTATTCTTTGGGATGCCCTTTTTGCTTCTTAGTATAGCATCGTGCCTCAGGAGGAGGCAAAAATGCAGTCTTGTTTCCTGCTTTTCTGCAGAGACCGTGTGCATGCCTTTTCAATGGCTGTTTGGCTCTCATCGTGAGCAGATAGCATCTTGTGCTTGCGCACAGACGTGTTATACACACTAACCCGCCGTGCAAGGACTCCCAGGCCCCGACCATCCCCAGAGGGCTTTGAATGCCGAATGCAACAGTTGCGCTACTTGCTCACTTGCTTACGTGATAGAAGTCTCTTGAACACTTCACGTGTATAAAGGAAATAAGGAGGTTCTCTACCACTGCTTTAGGGCATAGAGATTGATGAGTGGCCTCTCAAAGAAGATAATGCAAAGGTCACTCATTACGTTCGAACGAGTCCTATGACTTGGAAGACAGAGAGCAGAAAAAGGTTTCTTCAGTGAGCTTCCGCCACGTGGGTGACGTTGTGGTTATTTCAGAGAATGCGTGTCAGTGACTTAGGCTGGTATTTTACAGTATCTTGGCAAAAAGTGCATTTAATAACCTGCCTGCAAGATAGGTGTTTTGTGGCCTTCATCTGAGGAAGACTCTCGGGTGTTTTCCAGGGAGTAACTGATCAAATCTCTTTCCTACAGGAATAACTTAGCCTGCATATGAATCCAGTCATGTAAACCATTAGGAAAACCAGAGCCTATATGGAGTCCCCTCTTCTAACCCAACTGACTTGTATCTGCCCATGGAAAATTTCAATCCGGAAGAACTGACCTTGACCATTAACAAAGACACTGGCAGAGAGATCTTCCCATAATAAAGCAATCCGAATCAGCATCACGAAACTGATATTGCATGAAGCAACGATAAAATTACAAAAAGAGTAGCATTTTTAATTTCCACCAAGTGTCTAAGTTTTCAGCTATACCTGCACGTTCATAACCAACAATATAAACCGTGATCTCATGTAACACATAAACAATCCATGCCTTTCATAGTTTATCCAAGTCTAAACAAAACTGCAGTTTCTTAGGTGACAGATCTTTTGTTTACAGACAGACGAAGATGACCCTAAAATGCTAGAAGCTGTCTAGGTCCGATGTGTCAGGTTTATCCCAGATTAGATGTGCCAATAACCGAGTTTATTCAGTAAACAACTTGGATCTTGTACTTGTTTCGCCTGGTTTTATTACTCCGCCCGTAAACAGCAACGACTCCCGATCGTCTGGAAATATTTAATGCTTACAATCCTGCTTTGTGTATCTGACTTAATCCGTTACCAGGTAGTACTGATTTTAGCATATTAATGTGAAATTTCTTCCTCGTTCGCTTTGGTCTGCGTCCAATCCGGAAAGCTTCCAAGAGTTCCCTGACAAGTCCTAAATATATGTGAATTGTCATTATTTGGGGAAGAAAATCTGTATTTTTGTTAGTTTACAATATTATGAAATCTCACCCCGGAAAAACCTGTTGGGCTTCTGATGCTTCGTTTTCTTTCTTCGTTCCTTCTTCCTTGTGTTTTTTTAAGTTGATTTTTTTTTTCTTTTACTTGAAAAAAAGCGTTTTATTTCCAAATCTGGTCCATATTTACAATCTAGTTCAGAGCCAAGCCTTAAATTGTACAGAATTTCCACTGTAATTAAAGTATTTAGTGTTTAGTTATAAATAGCCTTCAAAAAGATATATTCTCCATTACACTGTCAACTGCATCACACAGCCCATGGTGAATGTATGTTTCTGCATAGCAAAATAAAAATGGTAAATGCATTTAAAGCTCTAATTCTCTGTGTGTAATACTTTCGGTACTGTATATATCTAGCCAAGAGGCAGCATTCGCATGACCTCAAAGGCTACTTCATCTGCATGATAGAGAGCTTGTCTTTTTACAGGACAAAAGGTGTACAGGGTGACACGACAATGTGTGGACCCCTCCAGGTGTCAGAGATGGGAAACAAGAAACATACACATAAATGTTCGGTTGCCTACGAAGGCCTTAACGAGTACAACTGGTTACCACACAATCTCATTTTCAAAGTTTTAGGTTTTTTATAAGAGGTTCTCCTATAAACCCCAGTGTTTCTGGGTGCCGTTAATCTACCAGAGAGAGCGAGACCTCCCTCACGCCTGCGCCATAGCTGAACAGATGAGCTGGTGCGTTCTACAAGGGCCCACGCAGCGTGTTCCCACAGTTCATCCACATCAAACTCCTTCATGCCAGGGCCTGAGAGTAAGACTTTTATCACCAACTGCCAATCTAACGCCTGAATGCACTCGCTGGCTATACGCCATCGGGTCACACTTTACCTAACTTGATTTTTTTAAAAACTTCAATTAAAAAGATTTTCTGCCCCTGAAAATTGTTAGATGTGACCACGCACCTTAGTCTTCGTGAGGGGGTCAAATTCTTATCATTTATCTATGAAGAAGTTACCATTTGTCCTTATTGTCAATACTACCTACTCATTGTAGGAACTGAAGCATCATTTTGTGTTTGAAGCTAATCAAAAAATGTGTTGAGGACCATACACAAAAATACAGTGGAATGAAGACCTAAGTGTGAGACCTGAAACCATAAAAGTCCAAAAGAGAACACAGGAGGTAATTTCTCTGACATGGGCTGTAGCAACATTTTTCTAGACACTCCTCCAAAGGCAAGGGAAACAAAAGCAAAAATGAACATTGGGACTACATTAAAATGCTTCTGCACATCAACAAAACTAAAAGACAGCCTACTGAATAGGAGAAGATATTTGCAAATGACGTATCTGATAAAGGGTTAGTATCCAAAATATATAAAGAACTTACACAAATCAACAGAAAAAAAAAAATCAGATAATCCAATTAAAAAATGGGCAGAAGACATGAACAGACATTTCTCCAAAGACATACAGATGGCCAAAGACACATGAAAAGTTCAGCATCACTCCATCAGGGAAATGCAAATCAAAATTACAATGAAAGATCACCTTACACCTGTCAGAATGGCTAAGCACAAGAAACAGCTGTCGGCGACAATGTGGAAAAAAAGGAACCCTCACGCACTGTTGGTGGGAATGCAAATGGGTGCAGCCATTGTGGAAGACAATATGGAGGTTCCTCCAAAAATTAAAAATAGAATTGCCCTGTGATCCAGTAATCACACTGCTGGATATTTACCCAAAGAATACAGAAACACTAATTTGAAAGTATCTATGCACCCTTATGATTATTGCCGGATTATTTAAAATAGCCACATTATGGAAGCAGCCCAAGTACCCAGCAATAGATAAATGGGTAAAAATGTGTGTGTGTTCATGCATGTATGTATATATACATACATACATGACATCCATGCACACACACGCACAATGGAATATTACTCAGCCACACACACAAAAATGAAATCTTGTCATTTGCAACATGGTTGGAGCTAGAGGGCATAATGCTAAGTGAAATAAGTCAGAGAAAAACACCATATGATTTCACCCATATGTGGAATTTAAGAAACAAAACAAATGAACAAAGGAAAAGGCAAAACCCCAAAACAGACTCTTAACTATAGAAAACCAGCAGAGAGTGGACAGAGGGAGTGTGGGGGTGGGTGGGTGGAAGAGGTGAAGGAGAGTAAAAGTACACTTATCACGATGAGCCCTGAGTAATGTATAGATTTGTTGAATCACTACACTATACACGTGAAACTAATGCAACACTGTGCGTTAATTATACTGGAATTAAATTGTTTTAAAAATTATAAGTTGAAATTTTTGGAGAAAAATTAATACTTTTTTGAGAGGAGAATGGTCCATAGCCTCCCAAAGATGACTGCACTCAGTCTGCTTAGCTTATATCCATCAAGTTGTACCCGTGTTAGCTGTTTGAATCTTAGTTTTTTACTTAAGTGCAAATGACATAACGTTGTGTTATGTGAATCTTAGTTTTTTACTTAAGTGCAAATGACATAACGTTGTGTTAGTTTCAGGTGAACAACATAATCATTTGACATTTGTATATATTGTGAAGTGATCATAATAAGTCTCGTCAACATGCATCACCATACATAGTTACAAAATGTTTTTTCTTGTGATGAGACCTTTTAAGATTTGGGGCGCCTGGGTGGCTCAGTTGGTTAAGCGTCCGACTTCGGCTCAGGTCACGATCTCGCGGTCCACGAGTTCGAGCCCCGCGTCGGGCTCTGGGCTGATGGCTCAGAGCCTGGAGCTTGCTTCTGACTCTGTGTCTCCCTCTCTCTCTACTCCTCCCCCGTTCATGCTGTGTCTCTCTCTGTCTCAAAAATAAATAAACGTTTAAAAAAAATTAAAAAAAAAAAAATTTACTGTCTTGGCCACTTTCAGATATTCAATACAGTTTTAACAATAGTCACCGTGCCGTCCGTGTTCACTGTTTAAAACCACGCCTAGTGTTTTCGTGTTCCTCTGTCCCCAGCAATA